AAAAAAAAAAAAATCTGTTTTTTATATTGTGCTTTTCAAAGCCATAACTCTTTGTGTGTGTGTGATCCAAGTGAGGTTTATAAAGGATAGAAGTTTCAGGTCTGACACAGGCACCCTCAGAAAAGCCATAACTCTTAAAGTACTGTTTCTGCATATTGTTTGCTAATACTTTATTTTCATAAACTTCCAAACCAGAAGAGAAAAAAAAAAAGAATTGCAGTCTCAGAAACCCACAGGTTCTAGGTGTGGAAAGATGTGCCTTCCCCACCTGTGCAGTTGAGTGGCCACAAGGAGTCCCTACTCCACCATTGAACGGTTCTGAACCTTCTCGTCACCCTTCATAGAAGAGATGCTATGTTTGTAAAACTTGTTTTTATGTTTGTTCCATTCCAGAGTCCTGTACCTTCTCCTGTCTCGTCCGCTCGATTACAGCTCAAGAATGCTGTTTGTGTTTGCCACGTCCGCCACAACTGTGAGTTCTAGACGCTTGGCCCCCCGCTCCTCTGGGCCGCGCAGCTTTTCTTCTTCCCTCCACTTGTCTTCCATTCCGCCGTCCTAACAGAGGGCCACGATGCCGGCCCCCACCCCGTACTTACTCCGAGCACACCTCCCTTTACAAACAAGCACTGCCCTAGGCCGGGCTGCCCCGACAGCCTGCCCAGCACAGGAACTGGTCCACCTGTTGACAGTTCCCACACAGCATCTGCCTTCCCAGGTCCCAGTGCTCCGTGGTATTAGGTCAGTCAACATTCCTGACAGCCAGGACCCAGCACAGTGTTCTCACGCCACTCTCCCCTCCCAGTAAACTGGCTAGACCAAAACTTTGGTTTCCTCACTAGCTCTACAAGCTTTTACACGCACTGTTTACCTTGCCTGGAACTCTCGTCTGACCAATGCCCTCCATCCTGGTGGCACTATGGGTTAAGTGTTGAGCTACTAACGGAAAAGCTGTTGGTTTGAACCCAGCAGCCCTTGCAGGAAAGAAAGATGTGGCAGTCTGCTTCCATAAAGACCTAAAGCCACGGAAACACTGAGAGGCAGTTCGGTTCTGTTGTAGGGCACTGGGTGTAGTTTGGTTTTGCCCCCTCCCCACCCCGGACCTAACCATTACTCTTCGCCCTGGATTCCACTCACTTCCCATAGGTGGCCATGGTGGCCACACACAGTGATGCACTCACCTCAGCCGTCTCAGGCCCCAAGCTTCCCCCTTTTTCACAATCGACTGTATCACTGTAGCCCTGTGGTTGCCACTAAACCAGCAGTTCTGAAAACCCCCAGGACCGTGGGTTCACGGTGGTTCTGTTGACCAACTTTTGCTGTATTGGAATGTAGTGTTAAGGTTTCCGGGGGGGGGGAAAAAATTGTGAGGCCATTTAAAAATAACATAAGCCCTAAGGAGTCCTGTTGCTACAGTGGTTAAAGTGCTCAGCTGGGAACCAATTAAATATATATAAGCCCATTATGTGGTAACATTTTTTTTCTTAATTATTTTACAAAGCTTATACATGTTAACATATAGCCATCTTGAAAATAGCCATCTTCCTAAAATAAAAGCTATAAGAAAATGACATTGTTTTATATTTTGACGAATGTCTCTTGTTTCTTTCTCACAGAAGCAAGTAAGTTCTCACATCTGCTCCTTACCCACTTCATTGCAAACGACCAAGCCCCCTGTCCTCATGTCCATCCACCTCACACTGACTGTAGGACTGAGCAGAACTGCTCCTTTGGGTTTCTGAGCAACCAGCTTCATCTCTCTTCCCTGGAGTGACTGACTGATGGTTTAAATTGCCAGCATTGTGGTTGGGCTCCCACGCTTAAACCAGGGCGCCACCAGGGCTCCAGGCAAGGAAGGAACATTTTAATCCCTTTCAGATCATTGTGTTCATTCTTTGCTGTTCCCCTGTGACTTGGCAAGTGAAAGTTTTACATTAAAAAAAAGGGTGGGGGGGCATTTCCATGGATCTCAAACCACATAAGTGAATCCTTTGTAATCTGTGAAACCCTAATCTATTATTGGCTGTTGAATCTGTTGACACTGCCTGGCTTGGGAAAGTACTGGTTCATAATTCAGGCAGATCTCCCAAATGTTGACATACATCAGTATAAAATATCCAAGAAGCACCGTCGTTCATCTCACCCCCAGCTCGTCAGACATGTTTGTCAGAATGAAGACCGCGGTGCCGTCCACCGTGGACGTTTCAGGCTTCCAAAAATGTCATTCTTCCTAAAAGCTCAAATGTTATCGGCTGTGAATTCTGTCTGTTTCGCTTCTTCGACAGGCTTGCTGTGTTGATTTTCCAGGAAATGTCTAAACGGCCCACCAGTGTCTGCCAGTCATTCTCTCCAGTGGAATGAAAAACGGCTGGTTCCACTCCCAACTCTAGAAATCCCCAAAGTGCTTTTTCTTGAGGTAGTCACTGCTCTGCAGTACAATGTTCTGTGTGCCCACAGAACATGAATACATGTATGTCCCTCCTCAGCCTCGGGGCTGAGCTCCGGTGGAGGATAATAATCGGTATAACCCACTGCCATCAAGATGATTTCGACTCAGAGACCCTGTAGGACAGAGTAAACCTATCCCGTTCAGGTTTAAAGGCTGTACTCTATAAGGAAATGGACTGCCATGTCATTCTGCCACAGAGAAGTCATTGGATTTGAACCCCTGACCTTCTGTTTCACAGCTGAGCACGTACCGATTGCCCCATCAGGGCTCCCTGATAAGACATCTCATTTAGTGGTTTAATATTGACGTGCATTGAAATATGTATTAAGATATGAGTGTATATTAATATTCCATACATTTTGAGAATTGAAGTTCGACTTCTTTCTCTCACCCAGAACATTCATACGTGTGAAGGTTGTCTTTTGTGCCCAGTACTGTGTGTGCACCCTGTGAAACACACCACGGAGCAATGTATGGCTGTGGCCTTGCTGAGGTGCCAGCAGCCTACCCCACTGTTGCCGATTGCCTTTGCACTGTCAGAGTAAATAATAACACCATGAGAAAGGCACGCATACCACAGGATCATTACGAAACAGGCCTAGAAGGTACACACAGTTGGCATGCTTAGGTGCTAACCCATAGGCTGCAGGTGAGTCCACCCAGAGGCACCTTGGGAAAAAAGGCTTGATCTGCTTCCTAAAATCCAGCCCCCGAAAGCCCCCAGGAGCATCGTTCTGCTCAGACCCCCGTGGAGTTTTACTATAAATCGGAATTAATTTGAGGGCATGGCTGATTTTATTAATGAGAATGGAAATAATTTTGACCCCCCGAAAGGACTCGGGAACCATGGGTTTTTTTAGGTCAAATAAATGACTATAATTTTCTTTTAAAAGAAAGTCTGCCTTCATATTTCATGCTGATAAAGGTGGTTCAGGTGGAATTCATTCACCCAGCATCTGAAAGGCACCCAATTCTCCCAACCTTTCTGGCTCCACAGACTTTAGGGGCTCGCCAGTTAACCTTTGCCCACCGGACACGGGCTCTCCAGTGCCTCCTGTACTTGGCCGACAAACAGACGGTAGAGTCCCTCTTCAAAAAACCGATGGAAGATGTGAAGTAAGTAGGATTTGGGAAATTTGTGAAGATCCATGTGAAATGCTCACGATAGCTGAGTGGTATTGGTGGGCAATAAATCTGGGAACGCTTGCCAAAATGCAGCTTTAGGAACTAGGAAGCGGACTATTTGCGGGCAGCCGTAACTTTGAAGCCCCTCACTTGCTAAGAGTGATTGGACTATAAACAACTGGTTTAAGGGTGGTAGGTTTGGGTCTTGAGTATCCTTGATGCTTTGGCAAAGGGAAATTAGGCTGCTGAGAACATTTGCATCTGTCCTTTCTTGGGAGCACTTAGAAACAATGTCTCCTTCTAACAGACTATTCAGTATTTGAAAATTCAAAGTGAATTTTGAAGAACAGATTGGCCTAAACTTTTTGATAGCTATTATTTTTTAATAATTCATTTTGGCGGGGGCTCTTATATAGCTCTTATAACAATCCATACATCATTCGTATTAAGCACATCTGTACATACGTTGCCATCATCCTTTTCAAATCATTTTCTTTCTACTGTTACCTTTTTTATTAGATGTAAATATGACCTACAAGAATGATTCTTGTGAATGCCTGTTTTCCAGATCGTATTTGAAATGTATAACCTTCCTGGCATCGTTTGAGACTTTGAATATCCCCATCACATATGAATTATTTTGCAACAGCCCGAAAGAGGGGATGATTAAAGGTCTGTGGAAAAACCACAACCATGAACCCATGGTATGTACCCCAAGCAACCCCACGGTGGCTTCTGTCTTCACCGACTCCAGGTGTCCACTCAGCTGCTCGCCACAACACTAGGTTTCTGAAGATACAACCAGAGAGACTCCTTGGTCCTGAACACACTGCTTTCCCATCCTGTCAAGTGGATGAGACACCTTGAATGCCTCCTCACACCTCTGTCCCCTAAAACCTAAGGGCCAAAGTCATGCTCAGAAACAAGAGCACTCTGCCAATTCCTTGCCCAGGCTAGACAGGAAGGAGAGAGACTGACTGTCCTGAGTAAGGGGTCCCTGGTGGTTCAAACAACACTCAGCCATTCATTGAAAGGTTGGAGGTTTGAGTCCACCCGGAAGCATCTGGGCAGAAAGGGCTGGCGATCTCCTTCCGACACACTGGCCACCAGAATCCCCGTGGAGCACAGCACAGCACTGGGCTTGCTGCCACCAGGACTGGTGGTGGTGGTCCTTCACAGAGAGGGTGGTGGTCCCCTTCCCCCTTCATGCCTGTGGCCATGTCGCCCTTCCTAGGGAGGAGGTGAGGGGTCAAAAGGCAAATCCTGCTGGGAAAAAGGAGGCGAGTCCGGGATGCTGCTTGAGTCCATGATGACAGGATAAAATACACCCCCGTTTTTCCCCGCCTGTTTGAAAGATGGAGGCCTTCATTAAAATTAGGCAGCTGAGACACCCAGATTGCCAGCCTGCTTTCTGTCACCTCCTTTGCTGGGGACTGGTGTGTGATGCGGGTGATGTTTCTCTCTGGCTGCAGGCGGTGAGGTTGGTAAGCGAGCTCTGCTTAGAATACAGGGTCTACGACCTGCAGCTCTGGAACGGGCTCCTGCAGAAGCTCCTGGCCTTCAACATGGTGAGTGGGATGACTGGCGCCCTACCTCGACCACAGCCTGCTTCGTGGCTTCCCTCTAGCTCTTCCGGAGAGCTTTGCATTGATCCTGCTTAAGGACAGATGCATTCCCTCTTGTTGGTTCATGCCGAACCCAGAAGAACTTACTCCACGGTCAGAGAAAATGCAAACTCAGAAAAAATATTGCACGTTTCTTTAAAAACAATGGGAAGGCTCCTTGATCTTTTTTGATAGTTGTTGATTTGTAAGCACACTTAACTGAGAGCTTCCTTGGCAACTCCTGGATTTGATATTTCGTGTTGAGATTTATATTTTGGGATCTTCACCATTTTTTCCCCCCACAGATTCCTTATCTGAGAAAAGTGTTGACCGTCATCTCCAGCATCCATTCTTTATGGCAGGTAGATGGGCATGGAAAACAGTTTTACTGAACATAGCCTTCAAACTTTTACACTGTCTTAATTTATTCGGCTAAGAATGAGTTTTAAATTGCAATTTAATAAGTCTAAAGTAGGTGCAATTTAAAATTGTACACACTTATTACAACAATTGTGTTCATCACAGTCTTCAAATTCTTTCTCCTCCTCTCTTTCCATCTTGTTGCCCTAGCACAGTATCAGGCACATAGTAGGCTTGTGTTCATTCTGGACCCCTAATGAAATCAGCCAGGATTTCATCATAAGACCCTGCGATACATCATTATAAAGGGAATGATCCTAGGGTCCTGGTGGTCTGGAACAGTGAGATAAATATTTGCAACCCTGATAAGAGTTTTCCGTATATAGTCCTGTCCCTGGGGGATGAAGAGAGCTCTTTATCTCTCAGATGTGAACACCTGAAACGCATTGCTCTCCGCAGGTCCCCTACTTCAGCAAAGCGTGGCAGCGTGTGATCCAGATACCATTGCTCTCAGGTATTTTGCCTTTGCTCTCTGAAACACCAACTGTATCATTCTGTAGTTGTGTGTGTATACGTGTGTATACATCATTGTGCCTTTTTTTTTTAATCTTCAGCTTCTTGCCCTTTAAGTCCGAGTCAGTTATCCGATTGTCGCGAGAGTCTCATTGCTGCGTTAGAGTAAGTACAATATATGTTTTCCCACAAAAACAAAAAGCCACACACTGTGTTGTGGGATAAATCTAAATGCGCTTATAAAAATTATTTGTGCTGAACATCTTTTATAGGTAATTCCTTTCTTTGGGAAGCTAAATATCCATTAGGTTTTATAATAAAATGCACAATTTTTCCAATGCCTATTTTGAAGTGTAGGGTACTACGGATCGTATTTACTAAGTGGTCTCTAAAATTAGTACCAGATTTTCGCATACATGTAAGGTATGCTTTGTGATGACCCTCCCCGTGCACTGTTGCTGAGTAGAGTTTGAGTCTTTCGAGAATGTATCTTTCGGCACATGTAGACTTTCCCTGTGCCGCTGTTCAGGCATCCCCCATGCGAGAGAAAGTGGGCCGTGGAAAAGAATGCCCGAAGAGCACGGGGTGGGTTTGGATTTGGGTGCTGGCAGAGTCTCGGCTGTGTCCTAGAATAAACCCATCGATTTTGGCAGCACAGCCAGTTTTCCTCAAGGTGGAGCATGGTGAGACTTTGTAATCAGGAGGGGTCAGTCCTTGGAGGAGGATCGCGTGTTTGGTACAGAAGGTCAGTGAAAGGTGAAAAGGAAGACGACCCTCGATGAGATGGGTTGACACCGTGGCTGCCTCAGGGCTCCCATGTAGTAACGATGGTGAGGACAGCTTGGTACCAGTAGTGTTTAGTTCTGCTGTGCATGGGGACCTTGCGGGTCGGAACGGACTTGATGGCCGAAAATCTTAGGCTTGCAGACATCATCATGGTCGGTAGCCTCTTAGCCTGTGAAGAAGGCCAGAAATAAGTTGGTTCCCTGAAAGCCTGGGAAGGGAAGGACTGTGGCCTGCTGTCAAGGCCAGCGCAACCCAGCGATCCTAGCGGGTTTGTCATGAGCTCCGGTCCTCTCTTGTAGATGTCCAGTCTCGGGTGACCTCGACATGCTCGCCGTTGCCAGGCAGTACGCCCAGCTAGAGCTCCCAGCCTTTGCGTTGGCCTGCCTCATGCTCATGCCCCACTCAGAGAAACGGCACCAGCAAATCCAGGTATCTTGCGAACTGCTCCTCCGGGGCTGCCCGGGAAATGCACGGCCTGGGATGTGCGCATCCCCTGCCCAAGAGGCTCCCTTTTCTTTTCACCATGCAAGAGGACCTTGGGTGGAGGTGGGGGTGGGTGGGGGGCGTTGGAGTTTAGTGAGAGACAAAGGAGGCTGAAAGGTTAAAGCACACTAAGAAATGTCTCCAGAGAGGGGAGAACTTTATTCTTCTTGCTCTCTAGGTAGCCATTGATTTTCTTAGAAGAGTGAAGTGAACTGGTCAAGGGGCTATTTTAGGAAGAACAAATCCTGGGGGAACTGAGGGGAACGATGGCAAGAAGGGAACATGTAGAGGGGCCCTGTTCCGCAGGATACAGACCAACGGGCCGGAGCAAGGCAGGGAGGCTCGCCGAGATGGGCATCTAAGGAGGGTGGTGGCCATGCAGATTATGGAAGGGCTAGTGAGGAGGGACCTCGACTTAATGATGGGAAGGTAACGAGGGTCAGGTTTTATGAATGGTGGCCAACAGAAGCAACCATTCTAGAGGACCTCCCGCCCCACACACACACACACTGCCTCTGAGTAGATTCTGATTCCACTACCCTATAGAGCAGAGAAGCACTGCCTCACAGGGTTTCTGAAATTGTAAGTCCTTACAGAGCAGACAGCCTTAGCTTTCTTCCTCCGAGTGGGCTGGTGGGTTTGATAACAGCCCCGTGTTTAATCCACCGCATCACCAGGGCTCCTTTGAGGGCAGAGCTGTTACAAACCCTCAGTGAAAAGCCTTGGTAGCCCAGTAGTTAAAGTGCTCAGCTGCTAACAAGAAGACCGGGATTTGAACCCACCTGGCATGGGACAGGAGAAGGCTCTGGCCGTCTGCTGTCATAATGACTTACAGCCCTGGAACCCCTGTGGCCCGTGCCCGTTCTCCAGTGTTCTGCAGGGCCACTATGAATCAGACTTATTTTGGCCCTGAGAGCATCCAAGTGCTGCCTGATATACGGCTTTTGCTCTTGGAATAAGTAAGATGCTTTTTTCCCCCTGATTTGTTGATAGAGGTTTTTTTCCCCTTCTATTAAATAAATTAAGCTGTTTTAAGTTTTAAAACGAGAACCTTACAGATGTAGAAAAGATGAGCAGTGATAGTACTTTCCAATTAAGTAGGTGCTGTTTTTTCTCCAGACCTTCCTGGGTTCATGCGATCTGCATATCACCCTGCAGCAGTTGGAGGCGTACATGAGTACTGGCCAGTTGGCGGGATTCTCACATCAAGTAAGAGGCAATTTCATCTCCTTTTCACTATGAAAATCTTTATGCAAGAGGGTATGGATTTTCCTCAAACCAAGAGTATGCCGGTCTCACGTGCCTGGCTGAAAGTTAGTATCGCTAGCCGTGAGTTCATGTCTCAGTTCGCTGTTTTTCACAACCTCAGTCCGTTTTTCACAAGGCAGGGATCCTGGCTGCCTGGGTCACTGCTGTGTCCTCGGGGCCCCCCGTGCATTGGCGCTGTTTAGATGAGCAGGTGTAAACCATGCGGTAGCCTGCCCCATCTAACGACCAGACACTCAAAACGCACCGCCATTGACTGATTCTGACTCAGCAAGACCCTCTAGGGCAGCGGGGAACTGCTCCTGGGGGGTTCTGAGACTGTGAACTCTTGAGGGGAGTAGAAAGCCAAGTCTCTCTCCCATTGGAAAGGCTGTGGTTTCAAACTGCTAACCATGGCGTTAGCAGCCCGAGACATAACCACTACACCACCAGGGCTCTTCTGTCACAGTGTAAGAAAATTGTGAATGAATAACAGAAAGAGCAACCCCTCCCCCGAGCATCAAGATGCTCATCCGCGCTTAGAGAAAGCAAAATCCTAAGAGAAAATGACGGAAAGAATCAGTGACCCTGTAGGACAGAGTAGAACTGCCCATCGATTATCAAAGCCTGCGATCTTCATGAGAGCAGACCACTGCTTTCTCCCAGGGAGAAGCTGGGGGCCCTTTTAGTAGCAGCCCAGTGCTTAAACTGCTACCGCACCAGGGCTTCTCTGGCAGAAATAATGGGCTACATTTGTGGGAAATTTGTCAGCTTATAAGCTGGTCGCTACTGTTTTTCATAAAAAGGCCCCAAATGCTTAACAGCTACTTTTTGTTTATTTATTCTCTTCTGAACTGGGCCAAAGCCCTTCCACTCTGGGCCCCTCTTCACAGAGGAAGCTTGGTCAGAAGGCAGTGAAACGTAACTCCCGATTGTCAGCAATGTGTTGATATTGAAGAGAGCTGGCATGCGACCCATCTTAATGTAATGATGTGTGTCGTTCTGTAGGTTCGAAGTTTGGTTCTGAACGACATCATAAATAAGAAAGAGTTTGGGGTTTTGGCAAAGACAAAATACTTTGAAGTGTTGAAAATGCACACGATGAATACCAACAACGTCACCGAGCTAGTAAACTATTTGGCCAAAGAATTAAGGTAAGTTGGTGTATTTTAAAAATAATTAAAACCATCCTGCTATAGAATTTCCTAAAAATGTATCTTTACTCTGGGGAAAATACCAAGCAATTTGGTTGTAATCCAAGTCTCTGTAAATATTGAGCTATGGCGTTACTTTGTTTTGTGACATTTGTGCTCTCGGAACATGACTTGAGAAACAGGCAACGAAACAGACCAGCCGAAACCGACAGCCTTATTACCTTAATACTTAGGTGACGTAGCAGTGTTTGCTAAATCGGCTTTCTCATGCCCCATCACTGCCACGTTCTGAAGCAGTTGGCTTTGTGGGCTGGGCTGAGAGCGTGCATATGGAAAGTGGTAGAGGTGGGCTGGGCTGAGAGCGTGGGTCTGGAAAGTGGTAGAGGTGGGCTGGGCTGAGAGCGTGCATATGGAAAGTGGTAGAGGTGGGCTGGGCTGAGAGCGTGCGTCTGGAAAGTGGTAGAGGAAGGAAGAGATGACCAACACTGAACTGAGAAGAAAGACAGTGCTCTGAGGACTGGCAGGGTTGCTGGCTCCATCCCTGCTGTGCTGAGCTCCATGCCATGAATGTCTCCCTTCCTGGCTTTCATCGATGAGCTAACGTTGTCATTGATGAGCCAGGTATCAATGATAGATGAGGAGTAGGTTGCACATGGTTCAGTGTACAGGTTGATAAGTACTCATGTGTACACTGAGCCGTCACCAGTCATTGTCACAGTCCCATGTGCCTTTCTTTCTCTTTGACTTTATAGTGCGGACGAAGCTTCAGTCTTTATAACGGAATATTCGAAGCATTGTGGGAGACCTGTGCATGCCAGTGCTGCTCCCTGTGAAATGCTGCAGGTACCGGGCTGATTGTTCCATAAGGGTCTGACTGGGCACCCTTTAGATTTCCAGAGTCATGAAATGGGCCCAGCCTTTTCTGATAGTTTAGAGAGCAGTGTGTTTTTCAAGGTTTGAGTGCCTATGTTTAAATGTTTCCCTTATTATGCAAGAGAGCCCTGGACCAGATCAAGACCATGGTTCAGATACCAGGTCTGCTTTTAAGCACCAGTCACATGACCAATGTGGGGTTTGCCTCTCTGCCTAGACCACTTGGTCTCCAGTGCTTTATGCCATTAGGATTCCAAATTAAGGTGCCGTGTTTAATGTTGAAGCCAAAGAAATGCTAAACTTCAAAAAGCAGTAAATAATGACTTGCTCAGATATGAATTGCTTCTATTTCTTCTCCTTTCTAATTCCACTATGGTGCCATTGCATTCTTCCATGAACTTTTTGAAATTCCTTCGAATGTTTACTGTAGATAAAACTAACGTGGAAGAGTGGGGAGAAAAAATCTGATTACTTGGACTCTTACCATCCAGAGGTAGAATCACCATTAACATATGGGTGTAGATATCTTCCCCCAATTTTTCTTCTACAAAATGAGCACATAAATTACTTGCACTCCCATTTCTATTATAAATACAAGGTAAAATTGTTACTCTGGTCATGTTTTGGTAGTTTTCATTAACCTAAGTGTTATCCTTGATTTTTCTCCTTCGTTAAAATCATGGAAATTAAAATAACCCTATATTATTGTGTGTGTGTGTGTGATATGAATACATCTGTAACAAAACAGTTGCAATTTCAGCATTTTACTAGTAAAGTTCATTGACATTCATTACATTCATCATCTCTAGCAACCAGCGTCACTGCCTGTAAATTATCCGGACAATAAATGCCCCTTGCCTTCTCCTGCCCACTCTTAGTAACCACCAATAAACTCGGGTCTCTATATACTGGCTCATTCTCAAGATTTCATGTAAGTGGAATCATAAGGATATTTGTCCAAAATTAGCCCACATTCTGCCAACTTCCATCCATAGCTGCCTATGCTGACCTAAGTCTGTTGTCCTCCTGGTATGTGATTAATCACTTTCTTCAGTAAGAGATAATCCTGACTTAGGAGACAAATTTTTTTGTAGTCCTTAAAACGTATCTTTCAAAAGCAAAAACATATCTTTTTGTCTCACTCTATCTGCCTAAAGTGTCAAATATGTATATATATAGATTTTTATCAGTACAACCAAATATTAAGTTCTGTTCCTATTTGCCCATTTCCTCTCTTTTTGGAAAAAAAAACACCTGAGACTCATAAAACCTCTTCTGTTTTTTTCCCTTCCCATGTAGATGTTTCTTAGTGGATCATAGATCGTCAAACCTTTGTCAAGGCCAAGAAGAAGTTTGGACTCTGCCCTTACCTGAGCATATTTATTAAGACTGTAAAAGTGTACTTTCTGTGTTCTGTAGCTCTCTGGCTATTTGTTATATGCTATATCACTCCCCAAGCAATAACTCAGATGCTTCATATTAAATCATTTCGTCCCATAACAAACTCATGCCCCGAATTCATCCATCGGTGGTGTGTTGGTTCGCCGTTATTGCCGCTGTCACTTGTGAACTTTGTGTAGATGCTCATCTGTTAGCACTGTGTAGGAAGGAAAGAAGACGCAAAACGGCCTTGCTCCCCACACAAGAAAAGCAACTCCTCAGGAAAATAGGGAGCACTCTTAACATTTCCCCCAAAGAAGGATTTAGTGTCCCGAATGGATTAAAGAGGTATGAAAAAGACTGAGGATGTAAGAGCTGGAAACACAGGGAATACAGGACAGATAAACTCCTTGGGACCAATATTGAGT